TTGAGAAATGATGTCACATCTGCTACTCGAATGTACGCAAAAGAGGGATAATTACCTCATAATGTTGTGTGCGCAAGCACATGCACTTACAAAGTATGTCTGCTAGTGTTATCCACGTGCATTCGTGACTTAAGGTAGAACACTTAAACATACCAATATTACTGGAGGGAAAAGGGTCGGTATATAAATCGGAAGGATTATGGAATGGCCGCAACCTAATAAGGCCTCCATCACGTATTTCTGTTACGAACCCTGGTCTACCTTTAACAATAACTACATTGTCAGACCTTGTAGTAGATAGCTTTGAGTTTCTGTAATTGACCATTTGCTTGGAAGAATTATCAGTTACCTCATGCTCAGTGACATTGTCAGCCATATCCTGATTCAGTACACTTTGAAAGTAAACTTCTTCGGCATATCGCTGTGCGGCTTGTTTTGCCACAGCAAATCCACAGTGTACTGAACGCCTAATCTTTCTCATGTAAGACTCAAAAGGAAATGCTGCGAACGATTCTAAAGTACCATGTTCCTTAACGTCGTCTGCAATGTGCTTTAAACTATGCACATTGTAGATTAAGTGTTCGGTACCGTAACACCTTTCGTAACCTAATAAAAAGTTATTAATGTAAACCCTAACACTGTTAGCGAATGTGCTATGAAACTTAGGGTGCGATAATAAATAAATAGACAAGGAGAGTGACTGGAAGTTTCTGTACATTGATAGTGGTAACCTATTATGAAGAACTACAGGTCCTAAATATAATAAGAACAACCGACATTCAGTTGCTTTCCATACAGAAACTTCATTAAGTGAACGACATTTCCGTTGAAAATCGTATGTAGTGTGTTGTCTACATGAGTCTAGAGCATCGTTTATTGATGCGATGATTGATTGATCCATCCCATTAAGTCGCTTAATAGCTAGCTCCTTCCATAATGAAACAAGTTTTTTGGTAACACCTAAGTAAATCATATGCATGGGTTCAAAGGGGAAACGTTTAATCATATCCACTGGTAGATTTTCAAATGAACTTGTACCACGATGATGGATAGATTGGGACCTACTACGAAAAGTGACATCATTTCTTAAGACGATGAACATTCATCGTCCACAGTGGTCTCGCATTTCTGCCTGCGCATATTGATGACTGTTTTTTGTAAGTTTATACAGAGGATCCTATTTTTAGTACATGTCCCTTGCTTTTCAACAGCGCTAACAAAATGACATCTAGATATTTCAAATTGGAAAAAATGTCATCGATTTTCCTAAGAAAGCTAGTGATGCTTAATGCATTTACCCTCTGGAAATGGAGGACTGAATTGCAAGTTACAATGAGGCAAACAATGTATTTGTAGATGCCCCTTCTACGATAAATTTTATTTCTAAACTCACTCGGCCGTGAAATAATAAACTGAATTTTCGCATGAGTTGTTATTGTTATTCACAAACAAATTATTTATACATCACTGTTGTGAAGAAACCATCTTGGGTCTCATCACACATGCGATTACTGACAAGTCTGATTAAGGTTTACATAATATACAAATTATTTTAACAAGCTTAGCAATATTTAGAATATTAAGTAACGTCGAAGAGTACGTGCGAATGTTTGAGTTTGTTTATGAAAGAAAAAGAATAAACAGTATTATACACATTACACATAATTTTAAATACACTATTATTGTGGTAAGAATTATTAGTTGAGAGTCAAAACAGTTAACAATGATGCGAGGAAAAACTTATCACAGGACGAATTCGCTTGCTAGGAATAAAGAGGTGAGGACATAACTACGCTCCAGTGTTAGCTGCCAAAAATCTCAGGAGATTAAATATGAATCATCCCTTGGGATGTATAAGTCCTGATGCTCACATACACCAGGTCCATCTTGATTTGACAGTGAACTTTTCCGCATGATGACCAATAACTGTACCCACCAACATTTTGGCTAGAGTATAAGAAAACACCTTTGCCGAATGATGGATCAAATTGTTCGGGTACTCTATAACCATTCCTACAGACCATTGAACCCAATCTCGATATAGATATTTTATTTTGAATGTATGGTGATCTGAACTATTGACTAGCTAGCTAAAAACACCATGTACTCAGTTAAACTCGTTCTGATCACAATCAAATGACTTTTCCGTCTAACCAGCCTCAAGAGTTAGTATATTAAGTACGCAGATCCATCGACACTGTCTATCAAGGACCTTATAAAGCTCTTTATCGTGGACGGAAGTATTATACTGTCAACAGCATCGACAGAGTGAAAAACACTTCCCGTCGAATTTTTCACTACACTATTTCCGATATTATGAAACAACCACGATCATCACCGATCACAAGGAAACATCTGACATCCGGACTAAGTCGAAATGTTCTGAGAAGCGTGAAGCTCTCAGGACCCCTAAATGACTATTGTGTATGTGTTTCCTTACATAAGGTTAGCATTCTAACGGACAAACTAATATAATAGCGAAAACTTGCGACAATTCCTGTTCTTTAGATTGTCATTTCCCTTGTCACCACGTCTATATTCGATGATCCGTGCTCAATCTTTGTATCGTGACAACAGTTTGCACACACCAAGACTGACGCGAAATTAATCCTTGCATTATACCTGATAACAGTTTGTGATGAAATCCCACAAATTCATATACATAAGTCTACCAATTATCGTTTCTTAACAAAACCATAATGACTCGTTAACCAAAAAGCATTTCTTGGAAGTCCATATACTTTCATCTCCGCCTCCTATCTTTGCGTTATTAAGAATATTTAACCTTCCAAAAGTTTTACCCTATCCATCATCATATGACTGAACTGGATTGATATGATTAAAAAGAAAGGATTGAAGTGAATGACTTGAATGGATAAGTGATATTATTGAGTTCTCCATCGCGACACTAGCATAATCAGTTACGCTCAGTAATGTTCGAATAAATAATGTTTTGTACCATACCGACACTAATCATGTTAGGCAGATTGATTGAATTTAAAGCCGTTTTGGTTTGCTTTCTTGAAAATCCGATGACTGTCTTCCAGTCAGTTACAACGTAAGACCAGGCAAGTACATGAATCGGTCCGAGTTGCCGCACCTCATTAGCACAGTAAGACAAACACTGGGTTGATAGAAGCAGTTAACTCACTGATGTAATATATAAAAGAAAGATCTTATGTAAGAATATAGTACAGAAGGATACGAAATAATTTTAACCTCATAGTTTAAGGGAAGATAGACAATATAGACACCTACGTCATTATGGTCGATTCTGAGCCATGTCATCCAGTCTCCAACCACTGGTTACGATCGTCAGGCGGACCCCAACCAAGTAGTCTGCATTTACCAACATGATCGAGACTAGGAGTTAGACTCCAAGAAATGATGCCACGTTTGGCTTTGGCCACCCCTAACTTTCTTCCAAACGTCTCCAACACTAGTCAACATTGTACGTCGTGGCAATCGGTGTTTGGGCATGCGTGATACTTGGCCCAATCATCTCAGTCGATGTAGGTTTGCAACCTCATCAACTGATTTACCATCATTCCCTAACACCCTGCGTCTAACCTCACTACTACTTACCCGGTGATCCCAGAAGATGCGAGCAACATTTCTAGGACATCTGTGGTCGAATACTAGTAGCTTACGAGTGTCCTCTATCCTCAATGGCCACGTTTCGCTGCCGTAAAGTAGAACAGAACGAACTGCCACACAGTATACTCGTCTCTTAATTGGTAGACAGATATCTCGCCTTCTCCATAGGTGACGTAAGTTGGCAAAAGCCAAACGAGCCTACTGAATCCGTGCTGAGATTTCGTCAGATACCAACCTACTAGGGCTAACCAGACTTCCAAGATAAGTGAAGTTGTCACCGCGTTCGACTGCTCCACTCCCTATCCTGAGTTCAGGTGTTGGCTCAGGCCAACCCTGGAGCAACAGTTTGCATTTAGAGGGGAAGAAACGCATTCCAAACATTCCTGGCATTGTTGCTTAGTGCTACCAAAAGACTCTGCATTTTATCAGCGTCTTCACCAAACAGAACTATATCATCTGCGTATTCTAAGTCGATAAGTGGACCTCCTGGTAGGAGATCAATACCCGAGAACTCAGTCGACGAGAAAGTTATTTCCATCAGTAGGTCTATGATGAAATTAAACAAAAATGGGGAAAGTGGACAGCCTTGACGGACACCACTTGAGGTTGCAAAAGTAGATGACAGTTCGCCATAAGCCCTGACTCGACTAGTAGTGTTCGAGTAAAGAGCTTTCACAAGGTTTATGTACTTCTGAGGTACGCCTTTCAATGGCAGACACTGCCACAGAATCTCGCGGTCTACAGAGTCAAATGCTGCTTTTAAGTCAAGAAAGACCACCATTGCCGGACGTCGATAAGCATGTCTGTGTTCTAGAACCTGACGAATGGTGAATATGTGGTCGATGCAGCCACGACCAGATCTGAAGCCAGCTTGATTCTCTCGTGTTTGCTGTTCACGTGTCCTAGGCGCCCGATAATTACTGAGGCTAGTATTTTATATGCTATATTAGTCAAAGTAATCCGTATATGGTGGTGATTTTGACCTCTGCTTATATATCGGGACATTAAGCGATTGCGAGTGTCTTTCAGTTGATTATTTTGGTTTAGCTTATTAATATATTACAACTTATGCTAAAACGTTGAAAAATAATCAACTGCGTTACAGCCTAAGATTTCAATGCCAAGTAATAAATATTTGAATTCATCTAGAGGCCACTGAAACGCTACAAGTACGACATGTATATTCATAATCACCATCGCATCAACCTAGTTTCAAATTTACATAAGGGTTAGAAATTATCGGAAACAACATGGTAGATTATACTGGTAAAGGAATGTGTCAATTGATTAGGTGGACTATCAGTAATCAGAAAAAGTGCCATGCACAACGCACATGTATATGTATTGTATTTGAAAAAGTACAAATAATCTTTAGAAATAATGCATGCAGTAACCACCATTGATCAAAGATAAAGACTAGCTGCAAAAACAATATCCCGTTTGATTTTTTCGATAGCTAAAACAAAAAGTAGATAAATGCAGAAAATCATCATTTCAAAAAGCGAAAATATATTGAAAACAATTAGGATAAGAAATTTTTATGAGATTACATTACAAAAAGTAGTCGATAGAGACAATTCATACTAATAATTTCAAATATCCTTCATTTTCACATACTTTATCATAGTCGACGGATGTTTGGAGAGAAAAAAAGCAAGGTCATGTCACATTTCCCTATTGTTCGAGTCAAATAAAACATAAGCCATCAAAGTCGGTAGGCCATTAGATAAAAAGCAAACTATGTCTTAAATTATCTTTTGGTCTTATTTGAGTATATTTACGGCACAAACTACGCATAACCCTTTTCATGTTGAAATGAGCCAAAAGAATCAAATAAAAAATATTGACCCTCAATGAATCGTGTAAATAACACTATAATAGTTTTCCCGATTGTGCTGGTTATTAAAGACGTAAACCTACAACCTTGAGTGCAGCTACTAAGTTCGAAGTGTTTCTCACGTTTACGATAAAAGGAATCACAAACGAGTTGAAACGTCCACATGATTTTGGCAAATATTATGCATCACTAGCACCACAACTGTAAATATTTTCAATTTTTTTTACAGTGAAAACGGGCTCAACACATCTAGAATCTATGTAGCTGACACTACTCAGTACACGACTTCATGTCATAATATGCAACAAAATAAAGACACAATAACTACTAACCCTCAACAAATTTCTTTTCCAAAACATTGCTACCAATTGTTCTAGCTGCATTAGCCATTTGTCGTAATAACTCTTCAAGTAATCTCAATGTACGAATAATTGTGCCTTCAAACAAGTCTGTCATAGAACAAACGCTAGCAAAGGATGCTCCTCTTGTCCATGCATCAACAAGATCCATTAAATGAGGTTTAAATGAATCCACGTAATTATCTTCATCAACTGGGAGACGACATTCGTTACTAATACGTGCAATACGTCTGGCTGTATCCTGTGTACAAATAGATATTGAATTAATCGAGATAAAAAGTAAAACGAAAAAATTTCCTTTTTCTAACCATAAAAACGAACGCAAGCAACGCCCAAACACAATTTAATATTCCTCATGGATATCGAGGGAAACACTAATTTATATGAAGTCAGTGAGTTACAGTTGGAATATTTTTGAAACACAGGAACAACAATCCCACTAGCAAACTATCTTAATTGTAAAGAGACAGAGTTACAGTTTGAATCTCGGGATTTTGTGGAAGATATAATTTAATAAAACACGGACTTGATGAAAATTCGGGATCTAGTGATGCGCTGCATGACTAAGTAAACGTTAAATAGTTGAGTTACTATGTATGTATAGCTTATTTTTAACTACAAATAATTATATATAAAAAGTGATGAACAACAGCCAGTGTTGAAGTAAAAGTATACACAGTTATCCAATTAGTTTGTGAGCAAGGAAACGTGACAATAACTGTATCTCGAAAGTGAATTAGGTGGAAGGTGATTTGAACATAGTTCAATGGTAACAAGTAGCGTACTTTAACCAATAAGCTATCGCTCACAAACGGTGACGACATGACTACACTAACTCTACATATGCAAGTAAACTGGGTGTTAAACTTTAAACATCAAGATGAGGAGTCAAGTGTTTATTACAAAATGTGAGACCGTAAAGTAAATTACAGTTATATTTAAGGAAATGATGGAAATCAGGTGGTAAAATTGTCAGTTAACATGATGAAAGACCGACTCGGCTCGCACAGAAATTCTAAGATGATCTTATCGGTTCAAGAAGCTGAGATCTCGTCAAGTTATTACTAGCGGTTTTACATGTGTAACTCGACTTATTCTAAGAGCTAGTTTAAATAGTTTTGAAAATGAATACGCTGAAAAGAAAACTCAACGATGAACTAATTTTTGATATTTTAAATTAAATCAACTCGTGGATTTAAAAATAGAGTTGTTCATATAGTTATTTAGAAGCCCGATTTTAACGTTATCAGCAACAGTACATAATTTTCATGATAGCTTGGAAGCCAATATCTCTGTGTTTAACCATTAAAACTTAGATAAGTCTTCAGAAAAGAGAAAAATGTGAAAAGTAGGTTAATAAACTGGAAAACAGTGGGTTATATTTGAACAAATTTAAAAGATTACAAATTTCATTCCAACCATAACTTCGATGCTGAATTCAGTCTCTGAAGAGTACGAGAGATGTTGAGATTCAGAATTATTGTTAGTCAGCAAGATGTATAGATTTCGAATATTTACATGTAGTATTGTAGATTATTTTAAAAAACATGTTTACGTAATCATCTTTGAGTCAGACTGTTTGTGTGTGTGCTAGTGATACTACCCAGCTATCCAAACTCGAGTCGATGAGATGGGGTTCGAGCTTGAGACGTATTGGTTGGATGCTGAATGCATTACTACTGATGATAATCTAAAATAATTTCATAATAAGCGAATAACAAGTGCAAAACAAATGAAATTCAGGAAAAGGTTTGACAGTTATCTTATACGATTTTAAAAATTCTCAACAATAAACACTTATTAACGATGTACAAAAGTACTAAGAATATGATCTACAATGACTTACTTGTAATGTACGCAGAGCATCAGATAATTCCTTAGTTAATTTGGGCATTTCCGAAGCTCTTTCCTCAAATACAAAGCAAGAAAGTAATGCTGCAATATGCTCAGACGACAGTCTATTGAATACCCCATCAAATAAAAGTTCTGTTAATAATAACTCATCTGCCGAGGTGATTTCACAGGCTACACAACCTTTTAACTCAATTACGTCATATTCAGAAACGAAATTTAATCGTCTTAATACACGTTTACGAGCCGATAGTTCTTCCAATTGAATTAAAGAAACTTTACTATTCAGATTAGCTGTAAGAGCATCGATACGTTTGCGAAGTTGCTCTTTCTTTCTATAAACTTTCGAAAGTTCTGAAAGACGTGGGTCATCATGAAGCCAATGATGCTGTAGTCTCTCTTGAAAAGCAGTAACTTTCTAAAACATAAAAAAAATCACAAGGTTGTGAGGTAATGTATTACTCAGTTTGTATGCAGATTAAAACATTAAGTATAGACCCACTTACAAAAAAATATATTGAACGGGAATAAATAGGACCGAAGCATTGAAATATAGAATAACCCTAAACTTAATGGACGATGAGTGGAACTCAACTATTGAGACTTAAGAAATTACTCAACGTCTATAAACATAGACTACGGTTATAAGCTCAAGCTGTCCAGATTTTTCAAATCAGTTCTACATCAGTGTGAAGATGAGTGTCCATTACTGAGAAGCCCCAAAAGACGATGCAGCTACCCAGTACTTCCTAGTTTGAATGCCACTCTTTCCTGCCGATGGTATTCGGTAACAAAACTAGCTTTGTTATATCCTAGTGAAGATTACATTACGAGTAACGTCTGAGGCTTATTAATGGACTACTATTATTTATATATTCTTATGGTATAAATATTCAGTAACTAGATTATGTATATCTATATTCCCCTTGTTATAAGCTTTATTTTGACCTATTATTTATTATTGTACGATTTACGGTTCTTAAGCTATGTTCAGTTTATTGACTACTGCCTCCCACGCTCACAGCAACTTTTTGGCTTTACTGTGCGCAAATGTTATTTACTATTTTATGGTGCGTTGGGGTCTGTTTGGTTGATATATAAGCCCAGTATGTCTGAAATAAATTATTCGATTCGCGTAGTGGAAGCTGGTATTGGTGTTCTGGACTCAAGTGGACGGGCTAGGCGGACATAGGACCAATAAGGACGCTAGGCTGCTCATACCGGTCGAACGTCATTGGTTTGGCACAGTGCTAAGATTGTATAAGTCATATTCTGATTGGTGGATAAATCACGTGATAAAAAGTCGGACATCAAGTCACAACAAGCTTCAAAATAAACGTACACATTTCTTTATACTTACCTCATTTACTTCCAGGAATCGTGGATCATTAATGTGCATATCTGCAATAGGATCTAAAACTGGCAAACTACCACCCATACGTATTTTCACTTTTTCTATTGCATTTAAAACACCTTGTCTAGCCTCTTTTGAACGAAGATCATTTGGAACAACTAAACGTACAGCACTAATACCAACAACACAATCTAGTCGTACAGGAATAATCTCAGCCATCGGTGATGTATCACTACCAGTAGCAGTAACTGAATTTGAAATTTCCGAGTTATCTACTGGATTCCCACTAGGTAAATCAAAACCAGATTCTTCTGAATTCGATCTAGATGGATTGGTGCATAATAAACAATCAAGTATATAAAATGATTCAGGTGTAGATGACCTGTCTTTACGCTGACGTTTTTTCAGATTGATCACAGCTCCCCATCCGTATGAGATGGATTGAACAACAATCTATGACAGAAGAGATTAATAGAAATTTGACAAAAGAAATATACAGACGTAAAGAATACTAAGATCTTTGGTCATTATTATTATAGACTCTAACAATTATCTTAGGCACACTATGTGAATTAAGTGAAAAGCCTTAATCATTGCTAATTATACTATGGGATGCATATTTCTATAAAAAAAATAATCATTTTAAATAAATTTGTTATATTTTGAAAACGGATCTCCTCATAAACAATATACACTTGACTTCAATAAATGACTAAAAATCACCCAGATATATTCGAGGCATGACGAACTAGCAAAGTGTTATACAATTTTTAGGATTAGTCTTTCCATGATTATCTACTGAAGAAACATCAAATTTCCTCGTCAGTGACCTCTACACATCTACAATAAAACCAGTGGAGAAAGGAAAATTAAAAAAACACATAACACCACTTTTCAGAAAATACCACAAATGATCGACAAACTCATTCATGTTATGTGACATAAGAAGTGTACTCTGAGACTAATTTACTGAAAGTAAACTGTCGTCTTGATTACATCACTTTAAATTTAGTTAAAAACTGTCATTTATGATAAGAAACCGTGTGTAATAAAATCTGAAAACACCATTTTTGAAAGATTCCACATATAAGTACGTATCTAGAGTAAAAAGATTTAATAACTTCTAATCAGAATGGTACCAGTTGTTACACAGTTACGGGAGAATATTCATTCTGTAAAGCTCCAAAACATTTCTTTTTGTATACGAAAAAACATCTCAAAAATTTACTACATGGAAAATTTGACATTAAATATAGTGTACTAGTTTTATATCGCTCAGCTTAATAACTGTATATGATTCATTGATCAATTTGATTATCATGGTACAGATGATCACAGCATAGTTTTAATTACTGTCTAAAGACAACTTCTTGGAATTATTTTACTATCTGCAGTTAGTCAACTCGGAATATATATATATATATCCACGCTTACTTTAACAAGACGACCTGGTTGAAGAAAAGGTACTATGTACTGTGGACGTCTTATATACTGCCACTGCTGTCCAACTAGTTCATCGAAGCATAATTGAATTTGATGATATGATTCGACGGATTCTTCATCATCAACAACAGTTGATGCATAAGTGGCACGTAATTCATTCAATTCTAAAAGTAAAAATAAACATTTCCAAAAAACCTACATTTTGAAATAAGCTTCATTGAAATAGGGTGGTGGGGAAATAACTAATGAGGGAGGAAAGGTATTGCAACATTCATTAGTGATTATGTAAATTTGCATATTTTGTAACCGTTTTGTAGTAGTAATTACAAATCACTCGATAACCTGATATTATTCTTTGAGTCTACCATAGTAAATAAGATCTAATGTGGGTATAATGTAAATGATATAACTTTCGGAATACTGATAAATTTTCGTAATCAAAGGTATCAACAAAGTTTGATTCCATATAACAAAGTATCCGTTTAAATTGATTAGCAGTTTTTGCCACGATAATAGTTTGAACTGTCTATTTTAGCTGCTCTGTCAATTTGTACTGTCAGCAACAAAAATATATAATAATAAAAACCAGCTTTATATTACTTGAAAAAAAAAGAATGAGTTTGATGAATAAAATCATTAAGAAAGTGATGATTCAATCAGGTAGGGAAATAAGAAAAGGTAATCTCATATGAGAAGACAAACAAGTACAGTGTAAATTTGAAACTGTAAGTAACATTACATTGAATTCTTTAGTGTTACAAGTTCATACCAAATTATGCATATGTACACTTACTTCCGATTCTTAAGCTAGAATATTAAGCTTATCAGTGATAGACAAAAATGAATTATGCATAGGGAAATATTAAAAATATTAAAAAAACTTTGAAAGATATTTGATGACATATGACAGGAAGACGAACTGATAAGTTGTTTTGACGCCTGAAACGAAAAAACTGGTAACGGTTAATGTTTGCAACATCAAAATTAGTAGCAATTATGCAAAATTAACAAGAAAGTTACAATTTTCTCCATAAAAATCAAGCATAATGGAGATTATCGAAGTAACTTTTGAATAATTAAGTCACCAGCATCGAAATAGCGGATAGATCAATGAAATACTTACTGTGACATTGGTGAATCAAAATAGAAATATTTTATCTCGAAGTTGAATTTTTGCTATACCGAGTACAATATGAAAATTCGAACGCTTGAACTCTCCAAGTCCCAAGTAAGAAGAAAGAAGGCGAGTGGAATGGAATCTTATCCTAACCAGTGTCAAATACGGTACAAAACGCTCGGGTATTTTTAGTTCTTAGTACAAACAAAATCATCATTATAATCAGTCAATCCGCATGTAGGTTTTTAGAATTTGCCCAGTCGGAAAGCTACATGTCGAGATTCCGGAATGTCCTTCCAAACGATGACTGGATGTAATATCTTCGGCTCGTTCAGAGCTTCCATGAGTTTACCGGGAGACGTCCCCACAGAAAAAAGAATGAATTGTTTTACTATTCATAGTTCAAAGTCTTTTTTATAGAATAAAGTTATAAGAATGTATAAACAACTCGTAAACCTATCCAAATAAAACTGAGATTCTACTTGAGATTTGTATCAAATTAACACTACCTTTATACATATTAGGAAGACTGGCAAAATTTTGGAATTGGCAAAAGCTTCTCTCCATCATGTATTCCGGATTAATTTCTTCAACACGCAATAAATTTAACAGCATATTATAAGTGATATGAAAAGCTGAATTCAGTGGGGGTGGTGGACCCATCATAATTTGATGAGCTAGTTCACTAGTCATACTTTCATCAACCATTAGAATTACAGTACCACTATCGTCTTTACCACGACGACCAGCACGACCAGACATTTGAATATATTCACCTGATGTTATCTGTATGAAATAATTAATAAAATATTAGTTATAAGGGTACTAATATATTTTGAACAATGGCTTTTACAACCAATCAGTATCAATAAAATAGCTAGTGAAAATTAATGCACTGAAAAGCTGTTTGCTGTAGAGTATATACTCATGATGTCCACATAAAGAGAAAGGAAAGAAACTCGATATCCAGTAGGTCATTTATTCCCTCTATAAACTTTATAAACTCTAAAACTTTTCTCCAGTTTTTTTTACCGGTAACAATATCACGGAGTAATCAGTCAACCATAGAAGACATGATTGTTTATTAAAATCCCACACATCTGCAACTTCTATAGTTATAAGGTTTATTCATAATTGATTCCAGATAAATATAACGACATGCTTCCAATTAATTCGAAATAAATATTTTCATGATGATGATGGTCAAGAGTAAAAGTCAGCCAGGAAATAGTCGTTAACCAAATACCTCCACTGGGAAAACAGCCGATATCAACTGCCAGGCAAAATGCAGTAACAAGTAACATATCCATTCAAGTGTTAAGTAAGATATAGGCGCGGTCACCAGAAAAGGTCTAAGTGGATTCTCAGTACGAAAACTTTTCAAAAAGAAATATCTGATAAGAATGGAAATAAAGTATAGTGCATAAACAAAGACTGTAGCTATAGCACTCAACAGCCAATGTATTTTAAGACAACGTAATAAACTGTCTCACAGAAGAGCCAGTAAATAATTAGTGAGTCGATTACTGACAAGATAAAAAGTTGATGATCCGAAGTTTGACTGAATTAGTATTTAAATGTGGAAAACGTTTGATAAATCTTGTCGACTGAACGCTATATTTATTTCCTAAGCTATTCCGATGACCCGCACGCTAGAACTACACAGCGACTTGAACAGCAGAGAGAAGACGCAAGTATGAGAAAAAATACTCTACTCCAAGGTTCATTGTTGTACAGAAAGCATGGGTATTTATAGATGTTGAAATTTGTTAAATCAACATCATATTTCAGCCAATCCGTTAACGACATATTATGTTACTGACCAAAAGTAGCACGCCACGTTGGAATTCTAGAATGCTCCTCCGTGCTGTGATTGACTAGGACTCTTTGGCTCCTTTTGGGCCTCTGGAGGCTCCGTTGAAGTTCTCCGAAAGCCGACTCAACAACGTTAATTAAAGTTGAAATGAAGCTTGAGTCATCAAATTATTCGGATTGGAAAATTACAAACTATCAGTTGGATGTTTTTCTCAACACTTAGCAAATCGCTGTGTAGCACCGACTGAAGTCCTTACAAATGAAAGAACAAATTTTAACAGAAATGAACTGGTGGTTAATATTTGGCTTGCTTTCTAACTGCTAAAAGTTGTGAGAAATGAAACTCTAAAGTAATATAATGTCTGTCAAATATAGTATGTATTTCATTTTATTAAGTTCACTCAATGGATTTTTGTTAGTTCATAGATATGAGGAAATTATAATATGAATATTTTCTTTGTGAATGATAAGCATTCGATATCAAAAGATTTCTTATTCATCTTGGATCGACAGCATAATATGAATATCCATAAGAATCCAGTTTTGACAATGAAAGTCAAACACTTACTTTAATTCTAAACAGCAGACGCAATAATTATCACAGTATATTATCGGTGTTGCAGCAGTCTGGTTTTTAAGCAAGCAACCTTAATAATATTCTAATAGCTATTTAAAATGTTTTACTTACTATAGATTTGCAACTTGGTAATGGGAATTATGAAATTTTTATAAACACGATAGACTTGATATATACAAACTTTTGAATTTAATCAGGTTCATTTATTTACATGGGAGTCTTATAATATTCTCCCGCCCAGGACATTTGGTTACTTCAGTAAATTATTGATCACAGTCGACTCAATTTTATGTCTTTTAGGTATTTAACCCTTTATATGAAAGAAACTAAATCTAGATATTATTTAACTTATACAACATAGAAAGTAATGTTTTGGAGTGTTATAAATATAAACAATCATTGTGCAGTTTTATTGCACTCATAAAAAGATCACCTGGTAATATAAGTTGACGTAAAATGTTGATATCACCATGTGTTTTGTTTTTCCACTCTCGTATGTCCACTTATACAACAATGATCGAATAGAGCGGACTGTTATACAAAATACACGTTATGGATATACGAAAAAATTTTCATCTGACAGAGAAACAGAAAATCAAATGATAGGAACCTTATACAGGAAAACAAAGGTATTCAATCTATCTGATCATTATAAATTGTTCTTATAGAAGGAGATAAAGACATTGGAAAACTAAAGTAGTATAAGTTAGATAAAAGTGCTTAAGTAACAAACGTGATCAGATTACATATTAATAATAGTCAAACATACAGATTACAATGTGTGATAAGGAAATAAGTTTGAATTTTTTTGTTAACGTAGAATGTGATATAACCGTGAATCAGTTCAAACTGTAACATTTATAAGTAATTTACTATAATAGAAGCAACGGAAAATAGATAAATACAGACTAATGGTTGTATATAATGGAGAATAAATACCAGAAAGTACATTCACTCTGTATGGAATGAACTACTGATTTCCTAACCATTCATTCGCTTACACTTTGATAAAAACCAGTTTAAACTTTAGGATGGAACTTATTCGGCAAGTATAGATTCATGTACTTAATTTTCAACCATATTTTAGATGTGAAGACTACTGGTACTGAATCCACAAACCGGAGATGGGGTAGTGTTCGAAACCGTAGTCCATTATTTGACAACAGAGTGTACGAACGACTAGGCCATTAATCCACTTTGCGATACAAATTACAGTGTATTTTATTATTATTTCACTAATTGCTTCGCAATTCGATCAAACGTAAGGGACGATACGTTGATACCGGTAATCAAAAACTAGCATTAACAAAATACATGAGGAATATCCAGAAAATGCATAGCTACATACGAATGTTGAGCGATTTCGTGTTGTTTATACGATAATGGATAAACGGCTAGATATTATATCGAGGTTGAAACTAAAGTAATCCAGAAAATTTAGGTTAACTTTTATATCACGGGCCGACTCGATGAACTACTCAAACTAAAGATACTTAGACAGACTGATATGTTCATCACATTAACCTCTACATTTTAACAGGTAATTAGAGTATTCTTAAGATACGAGTTTCAACTTGTGATTGTAAAACTAACAGCAGTCACATTTATTGAAGAAATCCAAGTACGGTGTTTAACGAATCAAGATACTACAATAAATGTACATCTTTAAAGAAAAAAGACAAAAATATAAGTAGGTTATTCGTAGCTTGCATCTAAAAGCAAATCATAACCAAATTTATAGGTTCTCGATGTAGACCACTGTGGTTTATGATTAAACTTAAAAATTAACTATTATCTCAGAGCTTTATACTTTGCCAAACTTATCGAGAATAAAAGAATGAAAAAAGAACAACAGAATCGTTTTATATAAGATACACTAAAGATGTGAATAAATTATTTCGTCTTGATAATTGAATATATATATAAATATGAACTAGTTGGTTTATAAAAACAATTATCTACAATATCTGCACAAAACTTTTATTCGAAGTTTGATTTCACACATTCCATCATATATTTTAGTATAGGTAAGAAGAATTCTAACACAAAAATAAACCGGTTAAACTGGAAGAAATTAGTCATGGAACGTGAGATATTCTTCGGTACAAATAATTTAATCACACATAATGACAACATATCCTGTGGTCGTATTGTCTTTCAATAATATCCTAGTATCGATTTTCAATGGTTAAAAGAAATTCAGAAACAGACAAATATCAAATTAGATACTTAAAGTTTGTATCTACGTACCCAGCGATAAGACTGTCCATCATATTTACGAGCCGAGGTGAATAGGACCGTTCTAGCGGGCATATTTAAACCCATGGCAAATGTTTCTGTAGCAAATAAACACTAAATATCCATATAAAACAATAAGCAAAAAATGTAGGGTTAACAGCAAATGATTGAAAAGAATAATTATCAAAGTAATGATAAATACAGTCTTTAGAAACCCACTCACTTGTTAATATACCATGATGCTGACTTAGGAAACCTCAGAAATCTAATTTCCGAGTTAATAACACTATATATATTGAGTGAAATTAAGTTACCGAAAAATTGCTTGAGACGTACATTTACAATAATATATTTTATTACCCTGACGAATTCACGACATGAATTTAGATGGTTCGGTTGGCTTTTGCCAAGTTTTGTTACTTATGGTGTAGGCGAGATCTCCCATCTGTGAACCAAAGAGCATTTACACTGAGCTATATTACTTTATGGCCATGAAACATGACCTTTATAAGTAGAAGACATAGTGAAGCTGCAGGTTTTGATCATATGTATTTTTGAAGAATTTCCCGTCTTTTGTGGAACAACCAAGTGACCAGTGTTGAGATTAGGCATATGTTGCCGCGAATGGCCCACTCAATAACCGCGACCGGTGATTATAGACGTTGAGTGATAGATCGGAATAGGTCACAATGTCAGTGGTGTATTCACTTTTTGTTCTCTCACAAATCTTAAATGTCAAAATTATTTTATACTTATTATTATACGAGTTCTTCCTATTTTCGTAAAGCATACTTCCACGCCTAATCCTTTTTACTACCACTGATACTACTACTTCCACCACTTTGGTATTCATCTTGATTATTTCATCTTTGTGTTACAAAAAAAGCAATCGATAAACGTATACAAACGTGAAATAAGTAAATAAATTAACATGTTCATGAATATAGGCTTTGATTAGATCAACTCTTACAACCTGATTGTCACGTAGTCTATGTACTAAAACTGGTATTGTAAAGTCTTCGTAACTTTGCTTGCATGCATGGATTCTAATTTAGATCAACGGATAATAACTCAATGAATTCATAATAGATTACCACTAAGTATCTTGAACCGTTCATAATACTTTAATATTCCGTGATTATTGTGCACTGACCGAAACAGACGATAAATATAAAATAGGAACTAGTCACCTCGATCAATAAAATAGAGTACGAGCAATGTGTCGATAGTAAAAAGTACAACACTAGGGGTAAGTGTGAGATTACTAGAATCTTTTACTAATGATAAAATTGAAAGACTGTAACACATGACTGATACTAATATACACCCTCTATATACAGATGTTGCAAGACAAGTGTAAACAGACATAAAATGAAGGCTTACTTTAATTAAATTCTCAGAAAATAATATTTCTATAGTTTCCTTTAATAAAGGCAAAAGACCACCATGATGTATACCAATACCACGCTTAAGCAATGGTAAGACACTCTCAACTTGTGGTAATGCGCGATCTTCAGGTGAAAGACCATCGATTGCATTGCGGAATACTTCATCAACGACTTTTTTCTCTGCATCTATACACAGAAAACCGATAACAATAATTACAGAAATTGTCAACCAACAAATAATAAAGGTGATAAGATTAGAAGCATTAAACCATAAGAAAAAATAAAATGTGTCATACATTGGGAAACCTGTTGTAACTTGTGACTGCAGGTTTTGATAAGCAGCGTTTTTATCGATCGACTCAGTGACACGTATAACACTTAAGGACGACCTAGAGTCCCGATTGGTCCCGCTCCCCTGTCTAGCCCAGCCAGTTGAGTCCAGAACGCAAGCCACAGCCTCTGAGTTATTAATCGTTGTATTTCAGACATACTCTATTTATATACCAGACAAACAAACCACATCGTACCATAAAAATAGAAAACAACATTTACACAATATTTAACATGTGAAACAAACATCGACTAATGGGAAATGTCCATTTAACGTCCAAGGACACCATTCGACTTAACACGATAATTATCGGTACATTCCTCTGCATACCTAACAAAACCTGAGGAAGGTCAAGGTTGAGATATCAAATATGAAAAACTTTTGAAAATCATAAAGGTATATGACGGAGAATTTCTAGTTACAGCAAAATCGCAAGTAACTTTGATTCTGTACAGGGTTAGGGAATATTTCAAGTCACTAAGTTACATACTTTGTACGGTCATAATACAGAAAAAGATGCTAATCCTAACTTTAATTTTACAGAGTTACATTACTAATTGTCTGGGTTATTGACTTTCTAACTGGTCTCAACATTAGTAAACAAGACTTGGTGAGGAACATCAGGGATGTAAAAAAAAAATTGAGGTAACTTTATTTAACGGAACTGTTACTTATGAACAACAATAGGGTAAAAAAGCGATAAAGATAACCAGACAGAAAAAGAAGTCTAATATCATTAGATATAATAATGAATACTTTTTAATATTAATCCATGAAACATTGCTAAAATAATCATGAATATTGGGATCGAAGTTACATGGAAAACTTAGATTACAACCCAAAAATTTTGAAAAAATAAGCATACCAGTAGTGAAATCGAATTTGGCTAATTGAAGTGCATAGATTTCACACTCCTTTTTACTGAAACTAAATACAATTATGGGTTCCAAACTGCGATGTTTGACCAAACGAACAATTTGAATGACATTATTTTCAGAACCTAAAAGAAAGCGCATAATGTAAGTGGTTATATAAGAACTAATTGCTGGTTAGATAACTTGACGTATTAAGTGATTACACCACAGAAACTACGTATTATAAATGCTTGCGCTATTCAGTAAGGTGTATGTAGAATACTAGTTACAGTCATTACTTTTTTTGGAAGATATTGGCCCAAGTGACACAACACTAGAAAGTTATGAGTTGAAGTTCTGTACATTCCAGAGTAACTCATACATACTAGATACCAACACAAACGACTGGAGAAAAACATGGCGTATACAAACTATAATACAATTAAAATAATCTAACGAGGAAACAATCTGATATTCAATTGACAAGCACACTGGAAAACAAAAAGCTTTAAGATGTTCACACTTAGTGGAATTTGGTAAACATAACTTCTGTAGATAGTATGCAGTGGAAATGTTTCTAAAGAGAATAAAAACTGGTTTAAACAAATACTATCTTACCAGGCTTTATATTATCACTTAATAAACTAATTATGGATACAAGAATAAGGGGGAAATATTATAAAGACAGGGATATTTGTACACATCTCATGGATTAAGAGGACTCAATCCAGACGTTTTACCCGATCCGAGCTACTTCGGGGAAATTATCGGAAATAAGAAAGACTGACACTATGAGCCCCATATATACTGGCGAATTTAGTTACTCTTAATAAATAGGATAGAGTGCAACTAACCACATTTTGGCACTGAACTAATATTCAATAAATAGGACATTTGTGACCGATTCCCATACTCATCTTAAACTCCACTGTTATTGACAAAAATTTTTTTTGATTTGACATGTTTCCAAATACCTTTGACATAATACTATATATCCTGAGCAAGCTTTACTTGCTCTATATTTCCAATTTTGAAAATACAGACGATTATCACAGTGATTAATATGACCCTGGACATATTTTTTAGCGTTATATGATTACTAAAATCAAGTTACGCTAACATACATCGTATACCACAACTACTCATACGAGATAACTTACACTCATTATAAATAGTTCATTTTTATGTAATGAAGGATGATAAGGAACTTTGCAGGCACTACTTGCCTACTACATAACAACTATAATTTTAAACATATTTTAACTTAGTAAAGAAGTATGACAATTTGTGTAAACAGTATGCGCCATTCTTGATATTATTTAATTGTTAGGAATTAAAGTATATGAAAATGATTTAAATTGATTTCAGATAAATCAGATATATATTAGAGCACATATTCTGAGAAAATAGGTAACCCACGTTTATTGTAATCAACTTGTGACTTTTGTCTTTTATTTGATGATTCATCCGAAAGGAACGAGCGCATAGCTCGTTCAAAATTTTGCTCCAAATATTTACCCTATAAGAAAACATTTAAATAAGCTGATATAAATCACAAAAGACGAGGATATATATAATTAATTATTATCTAATCATTTCCGCTTAGGTAGGGGGGCTTACATTAACTCAAAATAGTTCAGATCAAATATCAGTATTCCCATAACAAAGTACACGTTTCAGTTTGATCACCTTGATGCTTTTACCACTGGTATTTAACCTTTATAAAATAGTTTAAAAAGTTGTTCAATATGTGTTCATCACTAACGCTCAAAAAGTACACTGAATCGAATTTTTCAGACTAGATTTGATCGTAGAAATAATTCTGAGTATATAAAATCGAAATACATTTCACAATCTTATTAAGTTTAGCTCTTGCCGCCAGAAAAAAATTGGCTTGAGTATGAAAGATTTAATTAGCTCCAATAGCTTGGGAGTAACTTTCCCTACTACGCTGTTAAATGACATCGTTTAGAATTTTTGGAAGAATCAATTGTCTAGGGTTACAGATATGCCTTGCCGATGAATATCAACAAGCTCGGAATCTAAATATAGAGCTTCCAAAAAATTAACTAATTTTATATGGCAAATGACCTGATTTATAATCACGTTATTTTGATCCTCGACCGTTTGCCTGCAGATATATGAAATATTATTTACTTATAAATGGATGTTATATCTTCCCAGGTCACAGAAACCTTCTACCTGCTAGTTGTCTCGAAGACACGTTTTATGAGCATTTCACGAACATTCTAAATGTTCTGACCTTCGGAATATAAATAAATTGTCATTTTTGCAGACAAAGTCTTTAAAATTCTATCACAGCTTCTCTATAAAGTTTACCATAGAATGATTTTTAATGGATATTAATAAAAGCATACATCCCACTTGTTAAGGACATCAAATTATAAACAATACATTGAACAAATTTCCTACTAAGATTTATGGACAATATTTTCTATCACTTCGAACAAGATGATTGATAAGTATTATTGAAAATAAACGTCCTAATACGACCTACTGCCAATCTTACGGTTCACACGAAAAACTAAATAAATTTGTTATCTGATACATATGGATGTTTTATTTCCTGAGGTTATTATTTTCATCTGATCTGATTCATATAAAATTTGGTATATATAAGTGCCACACAACCACAGAATAAAGAGACAGTGTTATGGAGAAATAAAAGAGGGAAAGAGAGTGTGGTCTAAGAAAAAACAGGCGAACAAGAATACTTTAAGATAGGAGATACAGGTCGGTTAAAAATACGTCTAAAAAGACTTCTTTCTGTTAAGGAAGCTCACTTCATGTTTACCAAAAATGTCAAAAACTACATCAGGACTGCCATCGATTTTCGTTTCGAGCTACGTCTGATATCATCTCAGGCTCCTGAATTGAACTATTTCAATAACCCAAGTAAAGGAGTCACGAAGGACAGATAAGTGATTGTCCTCTAAAGTTTTCTTTTAAACCATGGAGCTATATCAAAAACTGATCACCTCTCTAGTTCTTAAAACCCGTCTTAGCATCGCTAAATAATACACAGTATAGAATTCGCTGGGATGATAATCGTAACACATGTTCAAGCCAACGAAATCGGTGTTTCAAAATGATGATACCAACTGAACTGGACCTCTGTATTATTAACAACGATGACTGAACACAGAGAGTCAATCTTTAACGGATTTCAAACAAACTGTGAAGTATTATGGGAGTCAATAGTTTGAATGCAACCGGAAACACACTTATCCTTCAAAAGTTATTGAACTTTTTACAGATGGGGTCAACTATCGCTTCACTGCAGGGTGTCGAATTCCTATGTCTTCTATACTTTTCAGACAATCTAATCAGTTCTCTGAGAGAAATTTCTCTACCATTCTTGAGTCGTCTAGGCCTGGTGACTTATGGCTCTTCGTAAGTTGAAATTTTTTAAGAACCTCGGCCCCGTTTGCTGGAATAGTCATCACCAGACACACAGTACAAGACAGTTTCATAGATGTTTCTGGAGCAAAATATCAGCTGAAGTCTTCCTCGCAAAACTCTGTTAAACATCCAAGACGCTTTTAGACGTTAATGATTGTCATCCCATTAGCTTCATAGATTTCTTTTAATCACACCAGACTTCTTGATGTCAGGGGGTTGGATGAGCTGGAACAGTTTTAAGCCAGTACCGGATGAAGCTGCGGCTTCCAACTCTTTGACATGCTTCGACAACCAAACTTCCCGATCTTTACAAAAACTTGGCACAATTTATGCTTATCATCAAACTCTCGATTTGTGGAAGTACACCAGGGTGATTTAAGGAATTATAAAGAGCTTGAGGAGACTCTATACTTATAAGCTGGACGTTTCGAAAAGCCGCATAAGAATTTACTACCCATTACCTTGGCATTATGCAGTTGCAGCCAATGTTTATCCACATCTTCTCGTGAACCTGTAGCCAGCCTCGAACCTGCCCCTAAATGATCTGGTATGGCCGAGAGTGGGGAGAGTCAGCTCTCCCTCTCCAAATGCTCTCACATGTTCACGTGCATACAACTACTTCCGGGAAAGTTCTACTCACTGCCTTCTCGTGGTGGGGGTGTTTACGGAATTGAGAGGACGAAAAGCGAATGTCCGGAACTTTAAGCGGGTTGATGGACACGGAAGATCCACCTAGGGGAGTTGGAAAACCCTGATGCCAAACCAATGGTGCGCTGCGCTAAAGGTTCCTGAGGGAACAAACAACATATGAACCGATTGTTGGTCACCGACTAACATGGAACTGCATCTCCTGATGTTGCCTCCCTGCCTTGTGGATCAGACCTTTAGGTCGAAGGCTCCGGGCGTGACCCCCTAAGAAAACCATCTGCTTCGGCTTGGGCTCCCGGGCAATATCCAAACCGCATATCTGTTCAGTGCCTCCTTGTACCAATGTTCATGTGTTTAAATGATGATAATAATATGGCTTGAACCTAGTTTGGTTCGATATTTCGATTGCAACGGAAGCTGCCCTCAATTCATCTACAACAATCCATTAGAAACGATGAGTTTGTAGACCAGTGAGACGTAAGATAAGATTGGAGGAAACCAAAAGGAGCACCATTTTTGAATGTGACCATGCCAGCGGTAGCTGATCGCGATGTTATCAATCTGAGTATCCACTTGAGTCATCGTAGGAGCCCCACGCAGTATATCGTCGATAACCGTCCCGGGAGTGGGTGCAAGCCAGAAAAAGATTGCGGTTTGTGCAAAGTTTCTGGAGATCGGCATCGTTATCTAACCTTTGACCAACAAGTTCCCATCTGCCACTTTAGCTACTCGGTTCTGAGTCTAACTCAAAATAAAAACCATATATCACTTTAATAAAGTACGTCAAACAAGATCTCACCTCATCCAATACGAGAAACAAACCCTCACTACCCACAGGATATAGATAATGACGTAGTGGTACAGGACGGCAGTCAGATGAAACAACATGACATGGTTGATGGTGAAGGTGAGCTATCCATTCAGCAAACTGGCGAGCATTTGGAATAGTAGCACTAAGAAACACATAACGAACATTATCAGGTAAAAGCACTATAGTTTCTTCCCAAACCACTCCACGTTCAGGGTCACGCATATAATGAATTTCGTCAAATATAACCCAACCGACCTCTCGCACCATTGAAGCACCTCTGGGAAATAAAAATAGGACTTATCAATAAGTTTGAGGACATTTATATTGAACAATATATTTGCTAAAGCTGATTAACCTTCACACAATAGATGGGAGTTTTAGCATTTCAACACGTACATAGTGGTTAATTCTTACTATTATTTACCTGGTTGAAATTATATATTTGAATGAAGTTCAGCTAGCCATTTGAATATGGAGATTAAAGTTACCAACTTCGAGCTCAATTAACCAAGCAAAAACAAAAATTCATAAAGAAATTGCTGCTTAATAGTACGATGTTCACCAGAATTTAGAAACCACTTTATTGCTTACCCTTTCACTTCCGAAGTACAGTTTCACTTAGCAACCTATATTGAGGAAAATAGGAGTATTTTAAGCTGTTGTTTGCTAGCTGTCGCCGGTATGCCAAATTAAATACAGAGAGCGGTGACATGTTTGTCACTAGATTTGCTAAAGTGCTAGTTAGGTGGTTAACATATCCGACAGTCGACCAAAAGGTACTCCATTTCCAGACATTTTAATATCATAATACGTATGCTTCAAAGGTAAGGATATATGTAGATTATATATATACTGAGATCGTGTTATAAGACAGAACCATCGAATGTTAAAATCAAGAACAATATTATGGGTAAGAAAGGTAAGTCTGTAGTCTATGAAGGCATTCACTAAGACCAGATGATTCGGTTTTGTATGATGATTGGAGTTGAGTCCATTACACAAACTGTAACAGACCTATTTACGTAAGACTATGTTGCCAACACTTACTGCCATGCTACTCTTTTACAAGAAATAACTGAAGTAGTTAACATAATTATAAGTAATAATAAGTTAGGTAAAAATGACGATCTCACTTATACAACATGGATTGAAGGATTTCTGTGGTCATGATGAGTACACTAGCGCTGGGATTGATTGTAGCATCACCTGTAAGTAATCCTACTTCCGGGAAGGCTTCGAAGAATTCTCTGTACTTCTGATTGCTAAGTGCTTTAATAGGAGTAGTATAAATTACACGTTGTTTTTCCCGTAATGCTGTTGCGATTGCATATCTGAAATAACGGGATAAATGGATAGTTTGATGACAATATAGAAAACCTAAGAAAAATATTGGTCAAATGTTCAAGGATTATGAATCTTTTATTCCATCACAATGTACCTCCGCGTCAAAACATTTCACAGAATGGTACAGCTGGGGAACACTGTTTAACTTAGTAGCGGATTTGGAACAGTGAAGTGGTAATATTATGCGCTCACTCTGATTACCACGTTTTTGTAAATACCTTTCAATTATCCAATGGAGTTTGAAGAAACATTTTCCTAATAAAAAATTCCCGAGGAATATCCTGTCCAGTAACTCACTGAAATTACAAAGATTATTGGCGTTTAATACACTTATGAATAATTTGTAACTTCAACTTTAATGACAATGAACGACACTGCTTTCTACCCTTATCTCCTCTGCCCGTCGACAGAGGACTGAAGTTCAAGATTGTCTAGAAGCTTTATTTATAGATCAAAAAAGATTAATTCACATTTGAATACAATTCAATATACAGAGATTACAATCAGTAATCAATATTTAAAGAAATTATCAAAATGAACAACCATAACACAGAATTAGTACAATTAGGTATTATACTGAACAGAAGTCAAACAAATGAAAAACATTTTTGCATTAATTGACAGTAATTAATCTTATACTGAGCAAAAAGATATACTGAAGTAATCTAAAAGTCAAATAAACAGAAATCATACTGAGTTAAATTGAAAGCCAACTAAATGGACAAAACATCTAAATTAATATATAGTCTTTCACAATTTCTTCTAACCAGACTATATTTTAAAATTTAAGACCCTCAACAGTGACAGTAATCTCGGACCAGCAGAAGCGTGCAGATAATTATTAATTTATATACGACCCGGTTCTTGTGAGTCAGTCTTTTCAGAATCTGCATAATTTTCGCAGTACGAGTCAAAATTTCGGAAATATCTAATAGTGCAATTATACTCTGATGGTTGGCACAATTTCATAGGTTCTAATTACTTACCTTTACCTGCGTGTTTAATCTTACAAACTCCATGGGATTTGGTAAGCTAAATTATTCTACCTGATGAAATTAGATGACTGGATGATAAAACTGATTGCTGATTGGCTATGAATGCTGAATATGTTCTTATTACTGTTAATGTTAGTGGATCTGTTAGTAACCATAAGATTTACGGACTAGAAGCACTATAAATTCACGTAAAAACTATGAAGTATTAACACTTATTTCTAATTACTTTTTTTATTTTTAGTCTACCAACTTACTGATTCACATTTGATCTAGACGTATGAACACGTACCCACTTATATAAGGTCGAATAGGTTAGGTTTTCCTCAAGCACTAGTTCCTTGACTGTCTTATCTTCATTTGGTTTTCTAGCTCAATTTAAATTTTCAGTTAGTTCCGAATACAGTAATAGACATACAACAATAAAGCTTCTGCACCTGCTTCACATAGGCGGATTAAGCAAAACTGGAAAAAAAACGACTAAAAGCATGAAGACCGATTCTAGGTGTTGAATAATTACTTTGAAATGAGTATGGATTGTGATCGAAATATTATCCAGTAAAAGATATTACTTCATTATGAAGTATAAATAAATAAATAAACCAACACGATTAACACTGACCCAATGCCTAAGTTTCATACATATTACGAGCACTTGGATTAGATTTTTTTAGTTGTAGAGACAATTTACGAATAACTTGATGCATAGTTAAATTATGCGGAAATCAAACTTTTTTATACGAGTTAATATTAGTCGCAAAACCCAATAAGATAACACATGAAAACTAAAGGCATATATATTTAATAACACCCATACTTGCACAAATTACCCACAGGCTGACTACTCGAAAATTTTGAGGTCTAACTTGAAATGTAGTCTTGGTGAAATACGTCTTAGGATTCGAGAACTGGATGAGTTTTGGTGATTCCGCGATTAAATAAACAATAATTTACTGAAAATTCTAGATAGACTTTTAAGATAGTGGTGAACCACGTGGAATGTATAAATACTCATTATATATACCAATAAAGTAAAATCGTTAGTATAAAACTTACTCAGCAACAACAGTTTTACCAGCTGACGTATGAGCCGATAATAGCACCGACTGATTATTATCAATACATATGATTGCTTGTTGCTGAAATGCATCAAGCGTGAAGGGAAAAGTTTTCGCTGGAAATCCACAATCTTTAATAATTGGCTTGTATTCAATATCAGGGGGAACAGCCACCTTTAGGGAAAAGACATACGGCCCAAGATAAAAACTACCTCGTGTGTACATGTTTCAGGTGAACTGATTTTATGTATTTGTATTCTGGGAGCATTAAATTCTAGAGTATCACCAACAGATAGTTTTGAACGTTTGGGAGAATCATCTGTAGAATCTTCCTCTACTTCTTTTAATAAGGGTTTGAGTGAAGCTTCTGCTCTGAAGATAAAAAAGTGCTTAACATTAAGTGCAATAGCAACATTACAAACGTAATTGCTGTGAAAATAACAGAAAACCTTGGGAAAATATTGAATATCTTTGAGATTTGACACCAACGTGAAAGAATTATAGATAAGTCATATTTTTCTTTGCTTTTTAGTCAAACAATCGAACGAGCTGACTTAACGAATTCGCTGTTAAGTGAAACACGTTATCTTGGGTTGAAATGTAGCCAATCTTACAAATGTCATTAAAGCAACACTCACAGAAAGCAGTAGCCTCTTGCATCACACGTCAAGGAATGATGAAGGTTAAAAAATGATAGGAACTGAGTTAGGCGTTTTAAATGATAAAACTATGTTTGGCATTAAACTTTGGATTACTAAGCCATGCTTTAAAAAATATAGTTTGAACACATATATAATATAAGCATTTCTGTAACAAACATGGTCAAAACTCTAATGCTCCCGGTTACTACATTGTAATCGAAATTCGTTCTCTTAATGATGGCATATATATAAAGGAGTATAGTCAAAGTAAACGAAGTGGTTATGAAGTAGCGTTTTCAAACTTACTACTTGTGACGAATATCTTCTATGTCAAACATGGCCAGGAAAGTTGGCAATGAAATGCCAACCGACCTTAATGCAATGGATGTTGGTAATTTCGTGAACTACGCAAGTAGAAGCAACAAAGGGTTTGGTGATATTCTAAGTCGATCTTAGATGTCAAAAAAGATCACAACGAATACAAATTACGTGGAAAATACGGGAGAAATGTGTTAAAAATGTTATAGAAACCATGAGAGAAAAATTATAAACATAAATCAGAGAGAAGACAAAAGATATAGCACAATAAGGCGTTTTAAGCTTAAAATCGGGCAAACGGTGGGTAGATTTTCAACACCGTAACCACACCAGTTCATTAATTACCTAAAAAATGATGTGGTCTTTAGTCATTAAATCTACAGTACCCAAATATGTAGAACGCTAGCCAAGTTTTACAAATCGGTAAAACCAGAAATTTCACAGTTCGAAATCGACAGTAATATACCGTATTACTTTATAATTAACTTGTAGTGAGGTACTTATCACAACAATTATAAATATATTAAAGAGGAAGAATGTATTTGTAAAATCTCAGCGAAAGAATTTGAAGTAAATACAACGTTTCGCCTGGCAATTGGTCCAAGCTTTTTCAAGGGAAATATAATCAAACAACAAAATTATCGAATATAAATAGGTACATGGTTCTCTGGTTTACTATATGCAATCAACGTTAACAATGTTTAAAGTAGGTATTTACATTAGTGTGTAAGAGACATATGATGTGAAACAAAAAGTGTTAAGATAACAGATTGTATGTATACGTAAGTGATGTGAAAAGAAGTTTCATTCACTATATATTGTCTTCGATCAGTAGAATATTAGGAAAACACATAATATATGACATAAAACAAAAATGTCACAGCATGCATAAAATGAAGATAAATAAACAAGATAAAAGATTGAATTCAGAGAGGAATGTATTTGTAATTGAAAGTTTGTGTTATTTTAATGTTCCAGTCAATTGTTTAACATATTCAGATAAGGTAACTGATTTGAACCGTTGAATGTATTATCTATTGATTAGTTAATATGATATAGATAGCTAGAATGGAATAAGGAGTTCAGGTTTACTTATTAACTAATAGCTGCCATGGGACAGGTAGTTGTATTCCATCTCTCCTATTAATACTGTTTGGATTAGCCCATATACGTAGGGCTTCGGCTGTCAGTCGTTCTTTGTAAGATTTTACAAATACATTCTCCCTCTTTAATGTCTCATATTGACTCGGCGCCGAAATATTGTGAAACTATTCGCTCAAATTTAGACGAAAGTTCTTAGTAATTATAAGTATAGTTAGAACCACGACAAAATATAATCTTAAAATAAAGCTTTCCTTGCTAATAGCATTAACACCACACAACTGATTTTATTTTCATAGGTATGGGAAAACAAAACTTAAGACGTATTCCTTAAGATCCAAGTAACCATGCAATAGAGGCTCTTAATTGCGCAATCTAAAAAAACAGTGGTATTTTCCCTCGCTACATCAAGTTTATGCTGTAGATTATTTATTATGCACCGAGACCACTGTTTCCACCTCATTTGGATTTCTTTTAGTTACAGTAACACCAAGAGTTTTGTTTTTTAGAGAATTTTTTTGCATCTGTACTCTTATTGAGTACAACATATTTTTGTGCACAGTACTTTTCGAACCTAACAGTTTGTGACTCGCTCTTTGCCCAACTTTTTTGATTAGCAGTTTTTGCATCAGAGTGTTTCTTGCCTAATTTATCTGAAAAGACTTGGTTGTTGACTAGTGTGAAAAAAATCAGTTATCAATGGCCAGGTTTTCGAGACCCGGTGGATGGTGGTACACAGTGCGATGAGTGACAAGAATGGTACCACGAAATTTGCACAAATCTAAAGCCTGTAGCTTTAGAAAGGTTTACTAAACCCGGGTCTGTATGGTTGTGCTATCAGTGCTGCTCGAACGCAGAGCTTGCAATCAGAAACCGTTGCAATAGTGAATGTTGCACGTTGACAAACGCAACCGAGACTAGTCTGATGATTCTTCCAGTATCAATATACAAACCGATGTGCAGTCATCTCAAGTGGACTTAAAATAGACTGGCATACGTGGGCAGAAGAAAAGATCAGACCCAAAGAGGTCTGTATTTATTTATTTTAACACATAGATATTGGTACAAGGAAGCACCAAATACATATGCGCCACACAAATCTCATTCGATATGTGTGAGGGCTATGATACTGCCCGGGTGCCCAAACCGAAACAGGTGGTTTTCTTAGGGGGCCACACCCGGAGCCTTCGACCTGAAGGTCTGATGCACAAGGCAGTGGAGCATCGTAAGGAGATGCAGTCCCATGGGAGCCGGTGACCAATAATTGGTTCATACGCCATTTGTTCCCGCAGAATACTGGAGCCCATGTGCACCATTGGTTTAGAATCTGGTTAAAGCGCCGGACATTCGCTTTCCGTCCTCTCATTTTCGTAAACAACACCCCTGCCACGAGAAGGCAGTGAGTAGGACTTTCCCGGCAGAGGCTGTATACGCATGGCCATGTGAGAGCAGTTCGAGAGGGAGAGCGAACTCTCCCCACTCTTGGCCGTACCAGGGCATTTGGGGGCAAAGAGGTCTGTTAGAAATAACAACTTAACGAAGGTTTCTTTTGTGTCTTGCACTCCAAACAGCAACAGTCAGGAAAAGCGCAGCAAACCCTGTCGTAAGGTTAGGTCTGTTTTTAGGAGGAAAAACAGCATAAGCCATAACCTGACCACCCAATATGACAACAATTATTTAAGGTTTCGCAAGGTATGTGATGCAACTGCGATTGCAACTCGACTGAGAAGTGATAAATGGGTACGATATAAGAATAAGAAACGACCTGTTATAAAATAAAGGTGGTTTCCTTAATCATAGTTAAGATGTCAAAGTCTGATCATAGTGATATGTTAGTTACCTTTTATAGAGTAAGGGAAAATGAGAGAATTGAGCCCAAAACTCGCCCTGACCTTGATATAAGGTTGATAAAATGTCTGGATAGCTAGCTAATGCCTCAAAATATCTCTGGGGTCAACTTGCTAGAAATTCATAGACTAGGTAGCCAGATGGACAAAAAAGAAAATCAAACCAGGTGCTGAAAGTAGTATTTAAATCCTTCGAATATATGGGACTTAATACTACAGAATGGAAATAAGCAAAAGAGACCAGTTTTTGTATGTAAAGACTTGTTGCTACCTGACCATATTGAAAATTGAGAGGCTAAGAAAGAACTAAAACCAAGATATGGTGTACGTGAAACTGACCAAAAAATTGATTTCCGAATAAGGCCCTGGCAGAGAATGATCCCGAGGTCACTTTGGTTGCAGCAAGAAACCATTTAAATGGTCTTCAGATCTGTTACACAAATGCTCGGAGCTTGTTCAACAAGCGATCGGACCTAAGTACACAGATAGATTCTACCAGACCAGAAATAATCAATGTCACAAAAAATCCGCTCAGCCAATCTGAGGATAGTGAGGAAATTAATTTCGGAAATTTCACATTGGTGAGAGCCGAGAGGACCCAGAAGTTTGAAGGAGGAAGAGTAGCTTTATCCATTAAAAATACTATCCCGTTACCGTTATTGATAACATCCCATGAAAGTGAAATATGTGAAACAGCTTGAGGTATTCGGGAATTTGTTATTGCACCGCACATTCCTTGTATTACACTGAGGAATTAGAACTCCACAGAAAGGAGGTCCGCAACCTCATCCGTAAGAGGGAAAGAATGTGGGAGAGATTCAGGTTATTGTCACTGTTGAGATGAAATCTGCTTCGGTTTGGGCACGCGAGCAGTATTACAGCCCTCACACAAATCAAATGAGATTTGTGTGGCGCATATATATTTGGTGCCTCTTTGTACCAATATCTATGTGTTCAAATAATAATAATAATAATAATAATAATAATAATAATAATAATAATAATAATAATAATAATAATAATAATAATAATAATAATAATAATAATAATAATAATAATAATAATAATAATAATAATAATAATAATAATAATCAACATCTGGAAGCTCGAAACATTTGTGTCTCGACTCTATGCAAGTCTAAAAACTAAAGAAAAGCTCGTTAGGGAGGTTATAGAGTACCCTAAACGCTTACAATCGTACATAAACCAAAAAACTGAGAGAAGAGGCAACATCCTAGAAGTGCGACATCACTAGTGCAGGACAATTGCAGTAATGCTTGGGCATTCTCAAATAACTTTAGCAGTGTATATACCGAAGAGATACCCTCTCCTCCAGTTTATACAAACCCCCGTGCATACTTTGGACACAATGACCATCAGACAACTCGATATTTTTGGTCTGATAAATAAGCCTGATACAGGCAAATCTATGGAATAAATCCAAAGGGATTAGCGAATTTCATCGCAAATTCCTTAAGCATATATTTTAATTTATCTGCAACCCAAGGTAGACTACTAAAGGATTGAAAGTAAGCTATAGTAAGCCCTGTATTAAAAACAGGTACAAGACACAAACCGGAGAACTACGACCCATAAGGCTAACCAGAGCGGTTGTTAAGATTTTATGAAAAGCTATTCGGAAGTTGTTGAAATATCTAGATGAAAACCTGGTTCTTTCTGGAAAACGGTATGGTTTTATAGCAGCTTATTCATGACTCATAAACTTATTAGTAGATCGTCAAAGTTGGTGTGCTCTTGAAGATCAAAAGCTACCGACAGATACAAACTTCTGGGTTCTATCGGCTCTTACCAATGTGAAATTTCCAAAATTAATTGACCTCAGTAAAGTTTTTGACAATTTTCCGGACAACAATAGTTATCTAGGTTGAGATATCAGGATTGGAGGTAACTTAATTATGTAGATAAAGAACTTCCTAGTTTCGTGTCAACAAAGAGTACAGGTTGACTCCAAGCTGTCTAGCTGAGAAACTGTGCTTAGAGCAGTTCCCCAGTGCACCGTTTCTGGGCCAGTATTATCCCTCCTGTATGTAAATGAACTTTTTAGTCTCCTTACATTAGTAACGTTGTTGTATGCTGACGATATCAGTCAGTCATCTACAACGTAGGACAGGGCACATATATGCATCGGTCCAAGTTGCTATACTTCATTGCCTCAACAACATGATCACCAAATTCATAGAAGCAGTTACTTCAATGGTAGTAATATATAAAAGAAAATTGCATATAAGGATATAATACAGGAATAAAGAAATAGTTCGTTGAAATAAAAGTATTAATTAATTGTAACCTTACGGTTTAAGGGAAGACAAACAGTGCATACAACTACACCATTGTGATTGATTTTGAGCCATTTCATCCAATCTCCAACCACTGGTTACGATCGTCAGGCGGACCCCAACCAAGTAGTCTGCATCTACCAACATGATCGAGACTAGGAGTTAGACTCCAAGAAATGATGCCACGTTTGGCTTTGGCCACCCCTAACTTTCTTCCAAACGTCTCCAACACTAGTCAACATTGTACGTCGTGGCAATCGGTGTTTGGGCATGCGTGATACTTGGCCCAATCATCTCAGTCGATGTAGGTTTGCAACCTCATCAACTGATTTACCATCATTCCCTAACACCCTGCGTCTAACCTCACTACTACTTACCCGGTGATCCCAGAAGATGCGAGCAACATTTCTAGGACATCTGTGGTCGAATACTAGTAACTTACGAGTGTCCTCTATCCTCAATGGCCACGTTTCGCTGCCGTAAAGTAGAACAGAACGAACTGCCACACAGTATACTCGTCTCTTAATTGGTAGACAGATATCTCGCCTTCTCCATAGGTGACGTAAGTTGGCAAAAGCCAAACGAGCCTACTGAATCCGTGCTGAGATTTCGTCAGATACCAACCTACTAGGGCTAACCAGACTTCCAAGATAAGTGAAGTTGTCACCGCGTTCGACTGCTCCACTCCCTATCCTGAGTTCAGGTGTTGGCTCAGGCCAACCCTGGAGCAACAGTTTGCATTTAGAGGGGAAGAAACGCATTCCAAACATTCCTGGCATTGTTGCTTAGTGCTACCAAAAGACTCTGCATTTTATCAGCGTCTTCACCAAACAGGACTATTTCATCTTCCCCAAATGCCCTGGTACGGCCGAGAGTAAGGAGAGTCAGCCCTCCCTTTCCATATGCTCTCACATGGCCACGCGTATACAGCCTCTGCCAGGGAAGTCCTACTCATTGCTTTCTCATGGCTTGCGTGTTGTTTATGAAATTGAGAGGACGGAAAGCGAATGTCCGGTGCTTAAACCGGGTCAATGGTGCACATGAACTGGCTTCAGTATCCTGAAGTAACAAACGGCGTATGAACCAATCTTTGGTCACCGACTCCCATGGGACTGCATCTCCTTACGATGCTCCACTGCCTTGTGCATCAGACCTTCAGGTCGAAGGCTCGGGTTGTGGCCCCCTAAGAAAACCACCTGTTTCGGTTTGGGCACCCGGGCAGTATCACAGCCCTCACACATATCGAATGAGATTTGTGTGGCGCATATGTATTTGGTGCCTCCTTTTTTACCATGATATGGAGAGCTAAAAAATCGATGATATTTTAGAGCCCTCAAATGACCTGTAAAAATTATCTGAATGGTCCGAACAGTCCATTATGATGTGTAGTGGTCGTCAAGGCACAGATACACGGTGAACAATATTGAGCTGCCAGTTGTACAAACACAATGATATAATCAATACCTGAATATTGCACACTCCCGTGCGACAGCAGCCAAAGGTTCTAGAAACCTCTGGTCAATATGTAGTCTTCAGCCATGTAGACGCTAAGGCTTTTCTGATTTAGTGGTGTTTGTTTATCGTAAACTCCAGTATTGGGTAAAACCAGACAACCCAAGCCTAAAAGAAGACAGTGAGCTGTTGAGAAAGATCCAAAGAACAACAATCAAGTTGATTTGTGGGATCACAAAGTTGTCGTATGACAAGACTGACTAAACTAAGCTTGCTTCCCGTGTCATGTGAAAGGTTCGAAGATGACCTGGCCACACTATCTGGGTTACTTAAGGACAAATTTACATTTGATACCCTCACCTGTTAGTCTTCGAAAAAAGAATTTATGAGGACACTACGAAAGTGTCTGCAAGCCCTAAACAAATTACGGCGAGACTATAATATATGAACGAACCAATCAGTCTTGAGTTTTGGCGGGAAATCAACTTATTCATTTGGCTAAAAAGTTTTGGCATTATAGCTAATGTCAGTTTGTGATGAAAACCATACAGTTAATTCCTAGCCCGAACTATCAACCGCAAATATTAATCATGACTACTCACAGTGGTTTCTAACCCTCATTCTCAACCCGACCTCTCTATTTTGGGGGAAATTTGAACCGTTTTGGAGGAATTTTAGGGAAGCCGCTATAGAAACTTTTGAGGAGATGGCATAGAGACCTCAAAATTTCCCTTTAACCTTGGTCAAGGCCATTTGACTTTGGGGATTTTCCCAAAGTCTGGTGAGTAATTTGGCTTTGGAGGTTCCCCCAAAATTTACTCAAAATTCCCTAAAACTTCCCCAAACTTAAGAGATTGGGAAGGTCTTTTTAGCGTCGTTCAAAGGTCGTCCATAAATTATGGTCTCTCGAAAACACTACTACCGAGACTAATACAGGCACTCAGCCTCCTGTCCATCTAAAATGAAAAAAAACTGCAGATTGACGCTGAATAACCACTAGGCGTTAATAACAGCGCACGATATGCCGTACTTCTTTGTGGAAAAAACGTTGCAGATTTGTGTTGAACACAAAACAGCATTTATACTTGAAGATAATGGAAACTTCTGAAGAATCCGCCGTATAATGGGTCCAAAACTCGATAAACCTTTTTCAGATCGCAAGATGAAAATCTACAGTTGCATATACATGAAATAAATATTTAGGGTATTTAGGTACTGAGCCATCTACATAATACCTCACTAACATGGGTAGAACAGTCCTATAGAAGAACCATTGTGAATGCTCCTTTACGAGGAACAACGCTCAGAAATCTATTAAACTTACTTTCGCTTTTTTTCTTCAAAGTCACCAGGCTGTGTAGAACCGGTATCTACAAGAGTCTCAGAAGATGGTTTTTTAGGATCGAAAGCTGACGTCAATTCGTCCAGATCTAAGCCAAAAGCAGACATGATTTTCAAAGTCCCTCCCTCATATGACCCTTGACGCTCAATATCCAATATCCATATGATGAGGTTACTTTAAACGATTGACGTTTCCAGCTCGCTTCGTGCTATTTTTATGTACTTTCAGGTCTTCGGTGAGGTTCAATAAGTGTATTCAAGCCGTTTTACTACTCTATTTTTATCATTTTGGTCGTTATTTCTGGGTGTGTAGATCTCGTAATCAGAGTGAACTTGTCCCAGAGCAGTAGGGTTTCTGAGATACGTGATTATCACATTACCGGAATGAAAATTAGTTAAACACAGTGTGAAAACAATAGAAATAAAATTTACATGTTGACAGATGATTGTTTCAGAAGTTAAATAAACAATTAATTTAGGTATTTGGAAATATAAATGATGTGAGTAGTTTAAAGTATAAAGATAAGAAAGGCAACATAGATAATAATAATAATTAGTGAAATAGAAATATGATATGCGATAATTACAATGGCACATAAGTTACGAGACCTGTGTTAGGCACAACTAGCCCAAGGCGAAGGCGGTAGTCCATGTTTCTGTAGAATTATGGTGTACTATGATATTCGCACTGCACTAATAATATACCTAATCCTAAAATTGTGTACTAGTCATGATATAACTGCCTAATCTATAAGATCTTACATAGAAGTCATACCATCGTCTACACCAACTCATTGCATCGTAGCAATTACCAATACATGATGGAGAACAAGCTTAGGCTAGAGGCAGAACAATATGTTTAATATGAATAAAAGATATAAGATAGCATCCAACAAGGACCACGCCTGCATGGCCGAGCCATGCCATTCGATCAACTACAATTAATTCAACTCCTTGTTCCCGCCTTCTCCATCGTTAGGTATTTCTCCTCGTTAAATATTGAATATCTATCTTCCGAGTAATCTCGTATTCAGCTTTGAGGATTGTGTGGTTATGGTCCAATGCCACTACACTGCTCTCCCACCAGAATCAACATGACGTTGTTTCGATATCAATTTGAGTGGGGTTGTCGCGCGCCGGAGGTTACGAAGAATAGTGTAAAACCTCCGGGTATTGATAAGCTGAAAGATAAACCAAAATATCTGGTTTAGTTCCTAACACGCTTAAAATGAAAATTTAGGTGAGGATTATTTGAGCTAAACAAAATGGGGTTATAATAATAATAAAATGACTCCGTATCATGATATTTTAATAAGGCGCCGTAAGATATAACTTATGGGTAGTACATATTTTGTGTTCAGATATATTAAAAACAACCAATATTGTAGAAATGTTAATATTGGTACTAATTTCGTTTTAGTTAGGAAATCAAACAACGTTTATGTCCGTAAGTTGTCCATATGAGTTGATTTCCAACTGCATCCGTATTAGTAGGTAACTAAAGGAACAAAAGTATAACCGTGGAAAAGAATTCCAAGTAGTGTTCCAGTTAGTTTGATACGGTTTATTTAGTTAATGGGAGATTTTCTCGACCTCATTTTTACTTATTCGTGATAGAATTTAGTAATACTACAAATGCATATGAATGGTTATAAAAAAAATATAAGTACGTGAGTGATAATTATGTGAATTTTGGACAGATAGCTTAGAACAAATCGTTAAACATGAGTGTATTCGTAAGAGATATGCTCTAGACTCAATGTTCTGATTTGCCATAGACTATTTATTCACATTCATACCTACCGGCTGATGGTACATACAAGTTAGTTGCAAGTATGTAGTTCAGTATAAGACGGAATACGATTTCATTGACATATAGTGACTATAATTTACTGAAATCAGTTAAGCCACATTTCTCGGTGATGTGGTGCTGCAGGATGTATTTGGCTAAATAAGTTTGCAGAATTATGGTCTACTATGATATTAGTACTGCTCTAATAATAGACCTAATCCTAATATTGTAGATTTGTCATGATATAACTGCCTAATCTATAAGATCTTACGTGGAAGTCACATCATCGTCTACACCAACTCACTGTATCGTAACAACTACCAATACATGATGAAGAAAAAGCTTAGGCTAGAGAAAGAACAATATATTTATTATGAATAGAAGATATAAGGTAACATTCAGATGGACCACGCCTGCATGGCCGAGCCATGCCATTCGATCAACTACAATTAATTCAACTCCTTGTTCCCGCCTTCTTCATCGTTGGGTATTTCTCCGCGTTAAATATTAAATATCTATCTTCCGAGTAATCTCGTATTCAGCTTTGAGGATTGTGTGGTTATGGTCCAATGCCACTACAAGTTCAGATGATTCGAGTGGTTGTGGACAGAATAGAAGCTTTCGCTTAATATGTTTCCATGCCTAGTAGCAAAGGATCAGAAAAATACCTCCAGGCAGGAACCTAGATATATTAACTATAAAAGAGGAAAAAGAAATTGGTAAATCATAGTACGACACTATCCTTTGACCTCAAGAACAGACCAAGTTTCCTCTTAAATAACTCTTGGGAAGTGGCTTGAACTAGCTTCACCGGCAGTGAATTCCAGCATTTGACAACTCTTAAGGAGTAGAAGCTGTGTCTACAGTCCGTCTTGGTATGTTGTGTTTCCAGTTTCTGGGTGTTACCCCTTAGATTATTATTCGAACTAAGCTTATGTTGGTGTTTAAGAGGATGTCCAGAAGTGTTAAGAATACTATAAGCCATTCATAAATCACCTCTAAGACGCCTATACTCTAATGTGTAAAGGTTAAGTGACTGGAGGCACTCTTCATAAGGTCTAAATTTGAGTTCTCGAAGTGATTTCGTGGCTCGCCGTTGGATACGATCCACAGTGTCCTTAGCCTTTTGGAGCGAGGGGAAAATACTATGTTCCCGTACTCTAAATGGGGACGGATGAAACTATTGAAGATTGTATGGAAAGTTCGTCCGTCAAACTGTCCAAAAATGCGCTTCAACGTTACCAGTGCAAGGTTTGCTCGGAAAACATTTTTGTCACAGCGTAAGACTTTAAATCATGGGGCACCAGGACTCCTAAATCTTTTTCGACTTAGGATACTATTAGAGAGGAGGTACCTAAGTTACAACTGTAGTCTGCGACATGTCGCAGATGGACTACTTTACACTTTGAAGTGTTAAAGGCAAGTCCATTATCGTCTGCCCAACTTTGAAGTCGAGTCAGATCCTCCTGAAGTGCCTGTATATCGTCTTGGTTGCGTATCTCTCTCCAAAGTTCCACGTCGTCGGCAAAAAGTAATAAGTCTGACATTACCTGTTGAGGAAGATCATTTGTGTAGATCAAGAAGAGAGAAGGTCCTAGTACTGAGCCCTGGGGGACCGCACCAGGATACTCCATAGCCTGAGATAAAATGAAATTAACCCTAACCTTAAAGTGTCGATTTTTTAGGTATGAAGTAAGCCAATCGATTAGAGGTGGTCTTATACCCAATCGTTTGAGCTTATTGATAAGACATGTATGGTTAACCTTATCAAAAGCTTTTGAGAAATCTAGGTAGATGATATCAACATTCCCCTTGCGATCGATGATGCTGGTCTATCTGTCCACCGCAGTCAGCAGGTTGATATTACAAAGTACCCCTTCCTGAAACCATACTGTTGGGGTGAGAAGAAATTTAAGGACAGTAAATAGTCATTTATACCACCGCATATCAGGGACTCCATGATTTTTGAGGTTATTGAGAGAAGAGCCACCGGTCGGTAACTTGAAGGTTCGCTGCGTCGACCTCCTTTGAAAATTGGTATGATATGAGCCAGTTTCCAATTTTCCGGTAGTTTTCCTAGACTTAGCGAGTGTGAGAACATTACGCTAAGCGGCGTTGCCGAGATTGAGGCTGCTTCCCTCAGTATGGCCAAATGAACCATATCCGGGCCAGGAGAAGTGTCTAATCTAAAGTGCTGCAGTTTCTGGAACACCACGTCAGCGCTTAGGTTCATGTTAGGATAGTCAGAAAAAGAGACCAACAATTATCATGTTAATTTCAATGGTGTCCTTGGACTTTAAATGTACATTTCCTATTGGTCGATATTTGTTCACTTGTTGAATATTGTACAAAATGTTGTTTCCTATTTTATGGTACGATGTGGTTTGTTTGCTTGGTATATAAATAGAGTATGTTTGAAATACAATGATTCATAACTTCGAGGCTGTGACTTGTGTTCTTGACTCAACTGGCTAGGACAGACAGCGAGGCAGGGCCAATCAGGGCACTAGGTCGTCCTTACATGTTTACGTGTCCACTGTCACAGAAGCGATCGATATAAACGCTGCGTATCTAAAACCTGCAGTCACACACACCCGTTATAACAGTTCACTTCGGAAAGTCCTGTGGAATTGCAAACGAAACTGTCATCAGTAAAGTTAGTGTCGGTCGGTTGAAATGTCTGGGAGTAATGTTCAGCCAGAAGGTTAGCGGCGTCGCCATCGTTATTGGTCGGGCCGTTAGGACCTAGCAGTTGGGAAACTCCAGTTTTGGCTTGACGCAGAGAGGCTGCATAACGGGATAAGCTTTTAGGATTACAGGAAGATTTGTCCATAAGCTTTGTCTGATACTGAAGCCTATCTTCTCTTATAGCCTTCGTGCATATGTTCCTGATATGTTTATATTGCCTGTGCGCTCCGTCGTTGTCAGTTCGTTTGTATTCTGCCCAACAGTGCCTTTTGTAGCCTAGCAGGCGAAAAGTGCGGTTTTTAATGATTGTAGGTTGCTTGTAGCCTTTGGGGACGGTTTGATGAACTGACTGCTTTGTAGCACATAAGAGCGTGTGCAGTAAGAAGTCCCAATGACCGTCCAAATCGAGTTGAGGGTGAGCATCCTAATCCATTTATTGTAGATAGTCCTGTAGAGCTGACACATTCGACCGTTTAAAATTCCAACGCAAGTTATTGGTGGGGTATCTTGGCTTAGTTTTCTGACAAAACTGAAGGCTATGACGGCATGATCGCTTTTTCCCAGGGGAGCCAGGATTGCGAGGTTGTCAACTAGAAATTCTTCGTTTGTGAATACACAGTCTAAGTGC